GCTTGAACTCGGGAGGCAGAGGTTGCAGTGAGCCGAGGTTGTGCCACTGCATTCCAGTCAGGGGGACAGTGTGAGACTCTGTCTCAAAAAAAAAATAAAAATAAAAAACTCTTACCTTACGATCTGCAATCATACTGCTTGGTATTTACCCCCAAAGACCTAAAGACTAATGTTCCCACAAAAGCCTGTATATGTGTGCTTATAGCTGTTTTATTCGTTAATTGCCAAAACCTAGAAGCAACAAAAGATGTCCTTCAATAGGTAAATAGATAAACTGTGGTACATCCATACAGTGGAATATTATTATTCAGCACTAAAAATACATGAGCAGCAAGGAAAGGTGGCATGTAATTGCAGTTGCAGCTATTTGGGAGGCTCCAGTGAGATCACTGGAGTCCAGGAGTTTGAGGCCTGGTCTGGAACTCGGGTTGGTTTCAGGCCAGCCTAGTCTCAGTATTGAGACCTTGTCAAAAAAATAAAGAGCGAGAGCGAGAGCGAGAGCGAGAGAGAGAGAGGGAGGGAGGGAGAGGAGTGAGGGCGGGTGGGAAGGAAGGAAGGGAGGGAAGGAAAGAAAAACAGGAAGACATCTATTTTAGAACCTAGAAGCAACAATATTCCAGTCTATTTTTTAAAAAGTTCCCCAGGTGAATCTAATGTTCAGTTAAGGTTGAGAATTATTAACCTTCTTTGCACACATAATCTCCTTCAATTTTTATAATATCCATCAAACTATGTAGCTATTCCATTTGATATATAAGGAAACTAAGGTTTTTTTGTTTTTTGAGTTTTTTGTTTGTTTGTTTTTGAGACAGTCTTGCTCTGTCACCCATGCTGGAATGAAATGGCACAATCTTGGCTCACTTCAACCTCTACCTCCTAAGTTCATGCCATTCTTGTGCCTCAACCTCCCCAGTATCTGGGAGTACAGTTGTACACCACCACGCCCGGCTGATTTTTGTATATTTTGTAGAGACAGGGTTTCACCATGTTCCCCAGGCTGGTCTTGAACTCTTGACTTCACGTGATCCACCTGCCTTGGTCTCCCAAAGTGCTGGGATTATAGGAGTGAGCCGCTGAGCTTGGCCAGGTATTACCTTCATTTTACATAAGAGGAAAAACTCAGAGAAGTTAGATGACTTCCTCAGAGTCTTACAACTAGTAAGGGACAGGTTTCATTCTCAAATTCAGGTCTTCAACTCTATGGCTCTTAAAATCTGAAGGAACATTAATCTACTCTGCTTTCCCTCAGGCTAAAGTACTGTGCACCCACATAGTATTATGCACCATCCTTGATGTGTGTGTGTGTGTGTGTGTGTGTGTGTGTGTGTGTGTGTGTGTGTGAGAGAGAGAGAGAGAGAGAGAGAGAGAGATTGAGAGAGAGAGAGAGAGAGAGAGACAGAGATAGAGACAGAGACAGAGACACAAAGAGAGGGGGTGGGGGAGACAGGATCTCACTCCGTCATCCAGGCTAGAGTGGGGTGGCATGATCTTTATTTTTGTAATTTCAGTCTTTTAGGATGAAGTGATCCTCCCACCTCAGCCTGTGGGCTAGCTGGGACTGCAGCCTAAGTTTTAATAACTTTTTAGGGCCAGGCGCAGTGGCTCACACCTCTAATCCCAGCACTTTGGGAGGCCCAGGTGGGCAAATTACGAGGTCAGGAGTTTCAGACCAGCCTGGCCAACATGATGAAACATGGTCTCTACTAAAAATACAAAAATTAGCTAGGTGTGGTGGCGGGCACCTATAACCCAGCTACTTGGGAGGCTGAAACAGGAGAATCGCTTGAATCTTGGAGAAAGAGGCTTCAGTGAGCCAAGATCATGCCACTGCACTCCGGCCTGGGCAACAAGAGCAAGACTCCATCTCAAAGAGAAAAAAAAAACAACTTTTTTATAGTGATGAGGTCTCATTATGTTGCCCAGACTGGTCTTTAACTCCTGGGCTCAAGCAAGTCTCCCACCTCAGCCTCCCAAAATGCAAGGATCTGTGCATGCCACAGTCCCTAACCCATTCCTGACTTGTTATCCAGTCTCTTCTGTCATATTTCCAGTGATAGAAAATTATTACTTCATGAAGCAATGCATTTTACTTTGATCTACTAGCTCCAATGATTATAAAATGGTATGACTAAGTATACACATGAGAGTTGGCAGATCAATGTTTGAAGCCCAGTTTCCCATTTTATTAGGTAGGTGAATTTGGGAAAGTTATTTAACCTCTCCAAACCACAGTTTCCTGGCTGGGTACGGTGGTTCACGCCTGCAATCCCTGCACTTTAGGAAGCTGAGGGGGAGGATCACTTGAGGCCAAGAGTTCGAGACCAGTCTGGCCAACATGGAGAAACCCCATCTCTACTAAAAATACAAAAATTAGCCCCAGCGTGGTGGTGCGTACCTGTAGTCCCAGCTACTTGCGAGGCACCAGAATCGCTTGAACCCAGGAGGTAGAGGCTGGAGTGAGCCAAGATCGCACCACTGCACTGCAGCTGGGTGGCAGAGTAAGACTCTGTCTCAAATAAATAAATAAATACACAGAAAATGCCTATTTTAACTGTTAATCATTTTTATATATAATAAACTAATGTATAAGGATTAAATGATAATATAAAGTATCTTGCTAACTGCAGCCAGGCACTGTGGCTTATGCTTGTAATCTCAGTACTTTGGGAGGCTGAGGTGGATGGATCCCTTGAGCCCAAGACTTGGACATCAACTTGGGGAACATTGTGAAACGCTGTCCCTACTAAAAATACCCAAATTAGCCAGGCATGGTGGTGCAGGCCTGTAATCCCAGCTGCTCGGGAGGCTGAGGTAGGAGAATCGCTTGAACCCAGGAGGCAGAGGTTGCAGCTGAGATTGTGCCACTGCACTCCAGCCTGAATAAAACTGTAAAACTCTTATAAGAAAACACAGAAGTAAACCATGAGCATTGATTTGGCAATGGTTTCTTAGCTATGACACCATGACATGTAGAGCCTCACAAAGTGAAAATAAAAAAAAAAAAAAAAAAAAAAAACCCAATAAAATAAAATAACATATATTGCTAACTGTAAAGCTTAACAGAAACAAATTTTAACTTTAAAATGGCTAATGATTCTAAAACCTACATGGCATCTCAGTACTTTCTTGCATTAAATATCCAAAGGCTTCCCTTGCCCAAAGAACAAAGTTCCAACTCATTAGGGTGTTCAAGACTCTCAGCAAATTGGCTCCAATTAACCTCAATGATCTCTTCCAGCCACTAACACCACTCTAGGTTCCAACCAAATTTAGTTTCCCACTCTTCCAAATCGTGGACCACATTCTTTCACACCCAGAACTTCTCAGAAGTTGAGGAAAGCCAGGGACACTTAACATTTGTAGTTCAAACTTGAAGACATGTCCAAACAGACATTTTCTGTAGCATATTTTGTAAGTTTACATCTGTCAATTATGCCTTTGATACACAAAAAACATAACGCTATATCATTGTGCTAATCATAAGATTAACTTTAGAAAGTTAATTCATAGTACATACCAGTTGATGAAATGAGTTTAGATTTGTATGATGAATATCCTCCTTTTTATTATAGTCCTGTGCGTTGATTCCAGTGACTGTGTACACATTGAAGTTCCTTTGTCAAAGTGGAGCCTCAGCCAAAAGACAGCCTGTTGCTTCATTCTGCCAAGTGGGACCCTCTTCGTACCTCCATGCCTCTCCCTATGCTTCTAATTATCTGGACAGCTCTGACTCAACATCTGAGATTTAATTCACACATCATTTCTGAAGCTTTCCAAGATGCTATCACCTACCTCAATGTTCCCAGCATGTACCTGACAATATCACGTAATAAATGCTATGATAGAGGAGACACAGAGAAGTCTGTTTACATCGACCTTTATTGAAGATGAGGTCTATGACTTACTGAGCCTTACACTGTGCCTAGCACAGAGCAGTTCTTGATGATCTATGATTCTTGGATTTTGGCAGTAATGGGAAATATCAGCATGTAAACAGTTCCTGGTTTCTTGGGATAAGTATTAAAGTCTGGTCAGTTGCCTTTATCTGGATATTTTGTTTTCTTCATGACTTCATTTATTTCCTTTAATGCTCTTGTTCTGGGATCTCATGTTTGAATTCTTTTTTTCCGCTTGAGTTTAAAATAATAATATGGGCCGGACATGGTGGTTCATGCCTATAATCCCAGCACTTTGGGTGGCCAAGGCTGGAGCATCGCCTCAGCCCAGGCGTTGGTGACCAGTGTTGGCAACACAGTTAGATCCTGTCTCCATAAAAAAATTAAAATAGCCCAGTGTAGTGGCATGTGCCTGTAGTCCCAGCTAGTCTGGAGGCTGAGGCAGGAGAATTGCCTTGAGCCCAGGAGTTGAAAGCTGCAGTCAGCTAGGATCATACCGCTGTACTCCAGCCTGAGCTACAGAGCAAGACCCTGCCTCTAAATAAAAATGATAATAAAATCTTTAAAAAGTGCAGTGAGTGTCACAGCATTCTTTTGATAGGTTTCTTTATTTTTTTTCCCCTGGAAAATTAAAGCAATTAATTCAAGATAGGTTTCTTTAAAACACACTAATCATTAATCTTGTAGGCAGGAAGATGATGGTATATGCAGATAGTGAAGGATAAAAAAATATATATCTGGCCGGGTGTGGTGGCTCACGCCTGTAATCCCAGCACTTTGGGAGGCCAAGGTGGGCAGATTACGAGGTCAAGAGATTGAGACCATCCTGGCCAAAATGGTGAAACCCCATCACTACCAAAAAAAAAAAAAAAAAAAAAAATTATCTTAAAAACTTAGTATAGTCCTTTCGTCAACTTTTCCATTTTTTTGTTAATAGCATCACCATTTTCCTAGCTTCCAAGTCCTCTTTGCAGGTAAAGGTTTTGTTTGTCTGTTTTGAGGCAGGGTGTTGCTCTGTTGCCCAGGCTGTAGTGCATGATCATGGCTCACGGAAGCCTCGACCTCGAGGGCTCAGGTGTTCCTCCTTCCTTTGACTCCCCTGAGTAGCTGGGACTACAGGTGTGCACCACCACACTCGGCTAATTTTAAAAATTATTTGTAGAGACAGGCTCTTCCTCTGTTGCCTAGGCTGGTCTACTCCTGGGCTCAAGTGATCCCCCTGCCTCCGCCTCCCAAAGTGCTGGGATTATGGGTGTGAGCCATGGAGCCTGGCTAAAAAGTTTTAAGTTAATCATTTACATTCTGATATATCTTCTTTCAAAAATTATTTTTAGATTTCTTCTCCACTCATATTGCCAATAACTAGACTTTTCTTTCCTCCATTATTAGAGCATTTCAGCAACTTCTAGCTAATCTTTTCTAGATAGATCCTTTTAGTCATTCTGGACACTCTTTCCACAAATTAGTCTTCTAAGATTAATTTTTCCAGTGTTGTAGTAACAGAACTTGTTACTTAGCTCAGCCTAATTTCTGCATTACACATTCAAGGCCTTCCCTACTTTAGTTCCAAATTTTTCTCTCTGTTGCCTACCGTTGGTTATTTGCTGGGGGCACAGGTGACCTTTCTTATGTCTAGGAACATATCAGGCTTTGCTTATATTCTTCCTTTCCTTTCAGTGTCCACATCGTACCCATTCTTCAGGGTTCAGAGGGAAAACCACTTCCTCCTTGAAGAGTTTCCTGGCAGCTCCAGCTCACACTCGTGCCATCTAAATAATCATTCTCTTATTTGTAGTTGTGACAGACAGTTGAATCCTCTTTTTCTCTTCCTTCGTTAACAAGATACCTAAAGGGACCATTACCTGTGACAATGGGACATGCGCAGATAGCTATCTGAAGCACAAATTAGTAACATCCAAAATACTGGTTATTTTTCTAAAGTACCAGTAAAAAAAAAAAAAAGAACCAGTATTTTCGAAAGTTTGCTTAGTCACCCAGGCTGGAGTGTGGTGCCAAAGCTTACTGCAGCCTCAATTTCCTGGGCTCAAGGGATCATCCTATCTCCACTGCTCCAGTAGCTGGGACCACAGGTGTGCGCCACCACGTCTGGGTAATCATTTTTTTAAATTTTAATTTTTTGCAGAGACCAGGTCTCTCTATGTTGCTCAAGCTGGTCTCGAACTCCTGACCTCAAGCAAGTAAAATCACGAAATGCTGGGATTACAAGCACTGCAGTGGCCCCAAATGCTGTTCTTTATTAATACTTAGCAGCTCCTCTGATTGCTTGAGGAACCATGTCTCAAATACTATAATGTCATATTCATTTTTCTTTTTGTTTCAAAGATAAAAGTGAGAGTACATACAGTAGGACGTCTCCGGGGTTCCAAGTACGTCCTATACGCATGCATTGTTTATTCTGAATACGCGTGAAATAAAGTTTGAAAAGAATAACAGCGGACATACTTGTGACAGAAGACACAAAACGTAGTCAAAAGTGCACTCTCAGTGCTGCTGCAGACCAGGCAAGGCACTGGGCCTGCATCTGCGCTTTCCTGGAGCCTCAGTGTTTCATTTGTACAACGCTGACAGTCCTCGGCAGCACCTCTTTCCCCGGGTTGCTCTGAAGGATTTTCTTTGAGGTGAACCGCGGGGCGGTCGGCCTCCCAGGAGCTGGGGGAGGCGCCTCTCTTACGCGACGCACTTCCGTGCGCGAGGAGGGAAGCTCGTGGCGGAGTGCGGGTGGCCTGGGCGGGAGGCTCCCCCGGGACAGGTTGGGCCGCAGCTCTGCTGTGCGGCGTGGCGCCCTCCGCAGGAGCGCGCAAAGTGTTGGCCACGGCGCCAAGCAAGCTGGACGTGCGTGCACGAGCGCGCTCGAGCTGACAGGGAAGCGAGAAGGGCGCCTGGGCGCACGATAGAGAAGCCGCGGCAGAAACGTCCGACCCAGCCCGAGACGGCGGGGACTACAGCGCCGGGGCAGGGGCGGCGACGCGGCGTCCCCAGTCGGCGCCCCTGCGCAGCGGTCGGCCGTCTCCGCAGCGCCCCAGGTGGCCGTCGGCAGGGTCGCCGCCTTGGGAGCGGATTTGCTCCGCCTCCGCCGGGCTCGGCTGCCCTCGGCAGCTTCACTGCCAGGCTCTGGCTCGACCCTCCTCCCTTCCCCCTCCCGGATCGCGATGGACTGGGCCTCTCCCCCGCGCCGCCGCCGCCAGCAGCACCGCGCGGGCCTTTGAGCGGCAGGGCCTGAGAAGCCGCGTGCTGGGGACTGGACGTGCGCTGGCTGCCGCCGCGCGGGGGAACCTCTCGCTTCCCTGTTACCAGGTCCCCGCGGAGGAAGGGGAGGGACGAGGCGCGGCTTTTCCTGTGCCGCCTGCCCGGTTCGACCTGCGCGGCCTGCGGCTTCTCGGGAACTCGAGGGCCGCGGCTGGGCCTGGCTCTGTCCGCGGCCTGGTGGGAGCTGGACTGGAGCGGTTTGGGACTACAAGCCCGAGTAAGAGCCTGCGGGAAGGGTAGGCGGGAGCGCCTCGGACCGTCGGAAGGGCCCTGCGTTGGGGCCAGGATCCCGGACGCCCGGCGACTGGCGGAAAACGAGACCCCGGCGCCGAGTGAGGTCGGCCAGGCTGCTGCCTACTTCCCCGCTAGCCCCTTTGTTCCCCTCCGGGGGACCCTGCTGGCGGCGGGGCCCGGCTTGCCAGCGCCAGAGCCCCAGGCCGGCTCCTTTTGCCCTTGAGAAGGGTTCGCCGCCAGGCCTTCGAGTTCCGGGCGCAGCTCCCGGGAGACCAGGCACCCTGCCTGGCCAGGCGGCCTCCTCTCGGGCACGAAGGCTTGCTGCTGCTTCTCCAGAACTTCCCCTCTCCCTAGACACAGGTAGTTAACTTAGTGGGGTTTGGTGCTGGGAAACCAGAGCGCAGGGCCCAGCACCTCTCAGCGCCCGGCTCGGCCGGGCCCCGGGTGTGAGATCAACCCTCCTGGCCGCCGTCGTTGGGTGCCCACCGCACCCGGCCGCCGGCTTCCCACACCTGCGGCTGTGTTATGTTGGGACCCAAAGCTGTCCTCCGGTCAGGGCGCTTACGGGGCGCTTTTGTAATGACTTGCCTGTTGGGGCTGCTTCTCGGTTTTGTTTTTGTTTTTTTAACCAACTGCCCCATCCTGCGAAGATGGGGAAAGAGGGCCCTAGATTGGCCTATATTCGGATCCGTAACCTGCTAGTCCGTTGCATTTACTTTTTGGTTTTTTTTTTTAAGTTTAAGGAATAGTTGCCAAGACTGCCAAAATTACCAACCCTTTATTTATAGATAGATCTTGTATATAATTGTCGTTTGCATTTGGCCATCTTAAATAGAAATAAATTGAGAAGTCAGAATTTGTGAAATTGAAGGTAGTTTTGAAGGAGAAACTCAATTCGGAGGGGAATTATTGGATCAAGGCGGTTAGAGTTTCCTCGGAATACTGAATCTAACCCTAATCTGAAGATCAGTTTTGGGTAGAGAAGGAGGATGAAGTTTACTGGAAAAAAATAAAACCTTTAGTAGGTGTTTTTTGCCTTTTGGCATAGACTTTAGTGATAGGAGTAGTGGGATCCGAAGCTTGACTTGTCTTTGACACAGGCAGCTCTGGTTTCTGGTTAAACAGCAACTTAATCAGCTTATATACTCTTGTGCAAAACTGGTTTTCATTAGTGTGATATCTGTACTTTAAACCTGGGGGATAAGGCAAGTTGAAAAACTGCATTAAGCACTCTTAGGTCCAAATGTACTTAGGAGTCTTTTTTAATTCCTAGGAAGACGCTACGAAAATTTGGTTCTACCAGATGTAAAGGAAAAAAACATTTAAGGCCAAGCTGATCAGTCCTGGACATTTAAAGGACTTTTTCCCCTTTACTTTTCAAATTTAAGCAAAGAGGCTTTTAAAAAACCATGGCAGATGTGGACCCAGATACTTTGCTGGAATGGCTACAGATGGGACAGGGAGATGAAAGGGACATGCAACTAATAGCCCTTGAACAGCTATGCATGCTGCTTTTGATGTCTGACAACGTGGATCGTTGTTTTGAAACGTAAGTACATTCCTTCATCATATTCCTTTGGGTTACTGTAGTGACATCTGTTTTCAACCATTTGCTGACTTCAGTTTATGTAGAAATTTCTCTAGTGGATTTTAACACGTGTCTTTAAAAACAACTCCTGAAGAGTTTTGTATTTACACTTTTCCAAGAAATAAGAATTGATAGGTTAAGTAACTCTAGGACTGGCCATTACGATGACACAAATACGTATTTGTTGAATGAATGGGAATTAGTAGGAATATAATTTTAACCCATAGCTTGGTTGATTCATTTTCAAAATGTCATGAACTGGGGAAAATACAAATATTTATTTTCTTAAAGGTAGCTATTTCTGTACCATGAAATTGACTTGTAGAATAAGAGGTGGTAATGAACATATGTTTTGAACTGCGTATTTCTTCATTGATGTTGTCATATGACTACTTTTGTTAAAGCAGATCATTGGTTTGTAAATTTCACTTTGGGAAGGTATAAATTGGATCTTAACCATATAGCAGAATAGTAGAAAATTTGGAGTAGTAGAAACATGTTGAAGTTTGAGGAATTTAAACAATTTTATTTAGGAGGTTATAATTTAGCATTTATGCAAAAATATGAAACAATTCATTACTAGATAGGCCTTAAAAGCATTTTTTCCCTCTTATGTAAGTCCTAACTTGTCTAGTTAAAGTAACCATTCTTCTCAGTGTTGAACACGTGTTTGGTTTTTACTGTTTATTTTATATTTCTGTTTACAGTCTGAACTCAAATAATGAGTAATTGAAAACTTTGGTATTTCTTTATTCATTTTAATGCCATTTTAAGGTAATTACTAAAAAACGTTTGAGATGTTGACCTAAAATTTGGTATAATTGTCTTAATGTGTTTTAGGTGGGAATAAAGTCTATTTTACTCAATTGGCAAAATTTTTTTAAGCACCTTCATTTTTGATTGTTGAATAATTTCAGTTGTAACTCTTGTTAACACAGTACTGAGATAAAAATCTTTATTAACAAAGTTGCCAAATCACACTTAGTGATCCATTTATTTCCACTAGTTTTTGTCATTGGCAACTTTTGAGTATGTAAGAATAACTTAGCCTTTTAGTTGACGCTTGCTTTAGCAGGTTTTATAGATTTTTTAAAATTTATTTTTATTTTTATTTTATTTTTTATCCTGATTCTCAAGGTAAAAAGTGTTCATAAATTTCATTAGAGGTAACCTGAAAGTTACTTTTGGTATTTTAAAAATCATACTTGTCTAGCACTGAAATCTTTGACATGATCAGTTT